CCCCAAAACCCCAAAACCCCAAAACCCCAAAACCCCTTCAACATGAAAATCTATTGAAAATTGGTTATTGGAATTGAACTGGATTCTCCTTCCTTTGTTAATCAAGTAAGGGTTTCATGTTGGACATCTGCACTCTGTACGTATCTTTCGTATCATCAATAAGCCTACCCTTTATTTCAGGGTACAGAATGTACTTCTGGATTATTTGGAGGATGTCGAAGGAGGCAGATACTAGGCTGATCAGGAGTTTTATGTAGTTGAAGTTGTGGGAGTGAGTGGGGTTGGTGTACTTGTCGACGAAGAGGTCTATGGGAGATGAGACAAAGAGTTTTTAGGGGAATTTGAGGGAGTTGTGAATCTTTGGGGTTACTTACCGATGAATTGTTGTAACATTGCGAATATTCACCCTGAGAGATCGAGGCAGATGTAAGTTATGCTCAATCCTTTGGTTGATTTTCTTCTGTAGTTGAGAGATACCTGAGGTAAATATTTTGCGAAAGTGATTATTGTCTTAAAATATCCAACTAGCAGGAATGTATTAATTATATTTGGGAATCTCACTCCTACTACAGCTTCAAGGATAAACCAGAGAGCAGTCATTATCCAGATAATTGTAACAAGAATGACCATTCTTTTGTCAAAACTTGTTTGAGATCCTCTTTTATATATCCATATTTGAGATAAATTGACACTAGAGATCAAAAATCAATGAGTAGGGAAGAACAAATCTACTAGTTGGATATCTCCAGTCCCCATATAAGCATAAGTGAATCCTCCGAAGCAATAGATTGAGTACAGAAGGAAGCCTGTCATGTGCATTATTCCAAAATCTATTGAAAATCCTGCTACTGACTTTAGCTGGTAATTAAGTATAGCTTGTGGGTAGCATGAGAAACCCCAAAGCGCCACATAAAACCATCCAAAGATGTAAGAGATAGCCCTTAGAATCTCGATTACCATATTTTAAATATATTAATCTGAGAAGGGGTTTTGGGGTTTTGGGGTTTTGGGGTTTTGGGG